TATGTTGTTACCTAACAGTTTTGGTGTAAAAAGCCTGCATATATCGGTATTGGGTAATATCGGTATCGGAAATTGAGAGTTGGACAATATCGGAATATCGGATATCGGCAGAAAAGCCAATATCTAACATCCCTACTGGTCACAGGTGAAGTGAAGCAAGACAGCAGAGTGTGTTTGGTTTTGTACCGTACTTGGTGCAATAAGTCAGTATAAGTACATTCTTGTCTTTTGTCAAACAAGTTATGATGCACTTCTAGTAACTGTGCTTGAAGGCTTTATCTCTTCTGGTAGTAATGCAGAGCTAACAGAGCTGTCAGACAATGTTTGATAATGAGCATTTATCAAAACATAATCTAAAATTCATCTGCAATAAATGACAATGGACAGCTAGAAAAACAGAGAGGAAATGATGCGTCATGACATCATGATACAGAAAATGTTTACCATAATCAACACACAGGAATCAGGACATCAGATTTAACTCGAAAGGAGACTAAGATCCCGACTGTGACAGCAAACTGCAAAGCACAGTGGACAAAATGCACCAAAAAAAGTAAATGCAGATACTACTGTTTTAGGCCTCGTGGACAGAAATGTGTTTATTGCTACAGGGAATAGAATAATATTATTGTTCTGCTTTGCTGACATACAACTGATTTCCAAGATTTCACCCTGAGGCCAAACAACAATGTAAGCCAAACCAGTCCTGTTTTCTTGGAGCCACATGTAATTCTGAAACAAGAAGCACTGCTACAAGTGGCAGCTGTCCAGTCCTTGTTGTTCCACTGATAGTAAGATAAGACAAAAAGCCAAACTGAGTGCTGCGGTTACAAGGTCAATTGCATATCACTTATAACATGCCTGTGAAAGGAGTGACTGATTCCAAACAGAAAAGAAACTGCAAGTAAGGGTATTTTTAATACAAGTCATAATAATTGATATCTGGTATTTCTTGTACTCGTCAGATCTTATAACAGTGTGACAGCATATGATCCTAGAATTCGAGCAGCAGTGATGGCCTGGTGTTTCATCCTGGCACCCTGCTCAGCTTGAGAGTGAAGTGCCTGTGGCTGTCTATACAACACAGCTCCTCGTTCTGTAGGCTTCCTTTAGCCACGACATGCCACAGATTACATAACTCTGCCACTGTATGGCCCTCAGGCCTCAACTATCTGCTACTGTAGCCATGAGACTGCCAGGGACCCCCATCCCCCACCCTTTAGTACACAGTGCTTTCACATAGTTACACACAAGCTCAACACTCACACACAGACCAGCCTTGTATCTCAAATGCGCTGGGAGGTGAAGCCTGGTTTCACACTCACACTGTATAGCCATGGTTTGGCTATACAGTAACACACACACACACAAACAACTCAGAACAATGCTTGGCTGGCTTAAAGAAATGCCACATGACTAAGTGAACTACGTAACAATGCTGGCCTTCACTACTGTGCTCCCACATGTGATACAGAACAGCAGCTTAGTCAGGAGACTGAAAGTAAAGCAGACAGCCAAAAACTTTTAATAGGCTATCTATGGCAGGATAGAAACTAAACTGTGCAACCTTATTTTAGAACATTATGCCTCCAAATCTATTCACACATACACAATATTGTACTTCGTATTATAATGGGATGCTAAAACGTTCCTTCGTTAAAAATGATGGACACTGAATCAGCAAAAGCCTTTTTTAACACAAGGATGAAATAGCCCGATGTTTCTGCTCATCAATAAGCAAAGACGGCGTGGTGATGGTAAATGGCAATTCGTTTTCTCAAACCAATGCAAAACACACACAGCCCTGACACCCACTTACATTCCCCAGCAAAACAGAAGACACACCTATTCAGCTGGGTTATAAGTAAATGAAGTAAGAATGCAACAGCCCACAATCCCTTTAGTCAAAGAGTCCAACATTAGGCCTCTCCATCTTCACAGCAAGATTGGAGTCACTGACGGTAACAAACTTCTCTTGTTCCAACCAGATGATACAGAGATCCGGGGTACAAATCCTCCACTGATAGCAACTGTATGGCAGCTTAAAGTGGCTACTCTTCAATGTATCACTAGAGATTTAAGACTGGCCCCACATTCAGTGTCTCTGTTCCAGTTACACTGACTGACACACACACACAACACACACACACACACACACTTGAACAACAAACTACATCACCACAGCTTTGCAGTGAATTAGCAGTCCCACTGAGACAAGCTGAAGAGCTTCATTACCAAATAAAGGATGGGTAATTTCAGATAAATACTGTACATGATTCGCTTGAATTTTAAAATATTTTTGTTTGATCTTATATGTCCAAGTTTACTATAGTAGGTCAGTACTTGCCCCAGAGAGCGGGGGGAGG